ATATGAAAATTTCCTCATTTTAGCAATAAATATCGTTTACATTGTAGTATGGAAATATGTGAAATTACTTATATCTCATTACTACGATATAATTTCCTTTCCTCTAAGAATTCGCAAAGTATTAAATTTATCAAGTTCCAGTATTTTCGTGTTTTTTTTTTGTTTTTGTTTTTTTTTTCTGTTCTTTTATTATTTATTAATTTTATTGCGATTATCTCTTAGTTCGATGATCAGTAAGCCAACGAAATATGCTGAGTAATTTTAAGTATTCTCCAGGCATATACAGATTTATTTTATGGCACCGAATGAATTAAGAGCCGCCTCAAAGTGCACCTCAAATAACACGAGAAAAAGATAAAGAAACTCGGAATATAATTTATGATTATTCTTCATATGTGAAATAGTTCGGTATCCATAACAAGGATAGAAATTTCATATCTAATATATAAGAAGTATTATTATTTTCTTAAATCATACAATTTATTTGCATTGTTAAATTTACTAACGAAAGTAAAATATTAATTGAATCTTACACTGTAACTCAAATTTATAATAGTATAGATTATCTTTATAAATTTTAATCAGTGCTTTGTTCAACATTAATAATAAGCATTGGCGTAGAATGAATTAAGTTGGCTTTTAGTTAATATAGTATTCAAATAATATTTATGCATTATATGCATACAATATAAATTCATATGATATACTTCACTGGTTTTTTTTTTTTTTTTTTTTTTCATTTAGAGTAAAATCCATTAAAATATTATATATTTTATAATAAAGATAATAATTGATACTAATATTTTCTAATAATATATCCTTTTTTTTTTTTTTTTAAGTAATGTAATTTTAATCTTGAGAGATAATTATAGAAACGTTTACCAGAAATTGAATTCATAAAAATTAATTAAAAAGCTTTATACAGAATTTTTTTTTTAGTTGAATTTTAATTATATTTTTGCATTAATTTTTATTAAAAGAAATCACTTAAAGCATGAAATGTATATTTAAAAATATACTTGACGTATCATATTAGAATCTAACTATCTTTTTCTTGCGATTGATTATTAATATTATTCTTTAAAATATCTATAGATCTACTGTATTAGTGTATTTTTTTTTTTTTTTTTTTTTTTAAGCAGTTATAGAAACAATTTGAACTGAACTCGGATCGTTATCTATTTAAAAGTTTAATAAATAGATTTCCTTAAGCAAAGAAAAACTTTTCGTCACAATTTTCTCTAATCATCCGAAAATTTTTACGCGGGCATTATTTATATATATATATATATATATATATTTTATTTAATAATTTTATCTAGAATAAACACGTTCTATTGCGATATGTTATAATAAACGTAATATTTTATTTAATATTTCAATATAACTATAAATATCAGCTGATGATGTTAATTGCCAACTAATGACGTTTTCTTATGATTGATTAACGCTCGATTGGATTAGCCAACAAGATTAAAAAATCAAAAGATTAAGCGCAAAACTAGATTGGCATTTCACTGTGACCATTGTCTCACTTAATATTATCAAGCTTTTTAAAAATTTAATTCTTTGACATTTTTTTCTCTTATTTTCATGCCATCATATAATGGAATAGCGGTGTTTTAATGAAATTAAAACAAATTTCATATGTTACAGATTAAAAGTAAGAATTAGATTAATTATTTGGTTGTTAATTTTGGAATTTTTTGATATCTTTGTAATGTCAATGCATCAATTTACTCTTCGTATGTATCGCAGTAGAATTAAGATTCATATCACTTGAAACATGTTGAAGAACGTTTGCGTCTTTATTTAATAGTAGGTCAGCCGCCAACTATATTAAAAATCTATGGTATTTGTTTTAACTAAGATATCCAATATTGTAATGATTATTTTTAATTTTATTTGTAAATAATGTTCTATTTGTTATGATATTGATTTGTTTGTATATGTGCTTAATGTATATTTTATATATGTACTTGGTTATTTTTCCAATAAATAATATTGTTTAAGATTTCAAAGCTTTGTAAACTAATATTTTGTATTTGTCCTAAGAGATAGTATTATAATATACGTATTTGTATATTGGCATATTAATAAAAAAAATCTGTATGTGTGTGTGGGTGTGGGTGTGTGTGTGTGTGTACATATAATTTTGGATAATCAGGCCTTGACATCTCCATCACAAAATTATATATTGAAATTCTATTTACGAATTATAAAAATTGTTCTAACATCTGAATCGATATTCATTTTTTTAAATATGATCATTAATCAAAAGTACATAATGAACATAATATGATAGATTAGATAAATTTAGGCGCCTTGTGCCTTTATTTACTACTTATTAAATTGGATTAATTTTAAATTACAGTTAACATTGAGATTAATTTTATCTATTCATAAACTTTAATCACCACGAAAACTTCATTGAAACAATAAATCTTTAAATAGATATTCAGCATCATTAACTATCGGGCCATTTATAATTGAGCCTCCATCTGATGGAAGAATTGATAAAAATTGATGATAGCAGAAAGCTTCGTGAACTTATATGCAAGTCAACTGCTGATCATGTCAAAACACTTTGTTCTTTGCTTTAATAATCAAGCGACGAAAAATCCAGATTGAATAAAACGCGAGAGGGCTGGTTGTCGCGATGTAATCGCACATTTACCGTATTTCCATTTACGATGAATAGTATCTCGCAATCGCTTTTAAACGTCCGTGTAATCCAATTCGACGCTTTTGGAAAATATATCTGCGCAGCGAACAATGTGTCCGTATTCAACATTAAAGTCGCCAACTTCGATTACAGCCACTGCGAATCTTTTGTTTGACGATCGAAAACACATTTTTCATCATGGTAATGACGCTCCATCTGAATTTTTCAGCCGATTTCACCTCATACGAAAGATGAATGGCTACACACCGAAATGTATTTCATCAATTTTATTATGAGCAGTCGATAATCTGATTTCGCAGAAATGCGACGTAGATTGAATTATTTTAATGAAATGCTTGGTTGTATTTGGTAGGTTAGCAGTTTATTCATAATGTCTCGTTATTTTATGCATCTATAATGAATTCGATGAATGTATGTTGTTCAGTATCAAGTTGCTTAAAGCATAAAATAAATAAACTAACTCTACTGCTTTCTCTGTAAATTAGATATGTAATGTTGTTTATGAATATTTTATTATATTGAAACAATTTATGTTGTTTTTTTTTTTTTTTTTTTTTCATTACGTGTATTTCATCGAAGATTATTTCAATAATCTTAATTAATGATTTGAAATTGCAACAGATGGATATATATACATTATATATTATATAAAAAATTTAAATTATAATTTTATAAAAAGTTAGAGAGAGAGAGAGAGAGAGAGAGAGAGAGAGAGAGAGAGGGGGAAGAGATAAAAAAACTTTTTTCAATGCTTCTCACACAATTTTCTTTGCTTCCAGTTTCATTAAAGCTCAAAAGAGATTTATTTTTTTTTTCTTTTCTTCTTTTTTTTATTAAAATATTAATATAAGTTTATAACATTTTATATTGCGAATAAGTGGACCCTACCTGTCTTCATTATAAAATAGTGTGATTTAAAATTCAATTAAAAGTAAATGGGATTTTTACACTTTTTACAACGCGCTTCATATACATTGTAATAAATTAAATTGCTACGATCGTATATCAAAATAATTTTTACTCTAACAGTTCTTTCTTGCTATTTGTTATTAAATTATTGATCAACTCGTAGAATGCGAGATATAATTCTAACTCAAATTTTGACATTCAATATAGTTTCTATGCCTTGCTCTCGTTCTTAAATAAAATAATAACAAGTTAAGAATATTAAAACTACATGTAAAAGCAAACTTTCACGCAAGTTCTTTTATACTTGGATTTAATTCCACGGATGAGATAAATTTAATTTACCGAGCTGATTATATCTTTTTAAAGTTCACGTGTAGTTTAATAGTTTTTGTGTGAAAATGACTACATTAGCTGGCATTAGTCGGGAACAAGGACGTTTCAAAAACTTAAAAATAATTATTAGAACGTTGTTGTTTTGATTGGTCCTCGTTGCCTTATTCTTAAGCAACTGAGCGAAATATTTGCAATTGAGCCATACGCTCGAACCGTCCCGTCCAACAATGACGAAGCCATATTTTATTCAACATTAGCAAATTTTAATTACCAGCCTTATAAATAGCGACTTCATTAATCATTAGGCAAAGCCACGGAATGCCGGATTCCCGTCTGAAAAAATATCCCTCGTAATTAATACAATGTACAATGAGAGGGCTGAGGGACGTGGGTGATGAAGGTCAGCTGTTGTTGGTGTGGTGGCGAGAGGGAGGGGAAAGGGGACGCCCAGGCACACAAAGCATACCGGCGTCCAATGAATCACGTCAAAGTGCGTGGCACGCGAATCCAAACGATCCATAATGATCCATCCTTGTCTTGCAGATGTCGAAATCGACGCCACGATGCCACGAACCCTACCTGCCGCCTAAGCGACAATAAGCTCGGGCGCCGAGATTTCTCAACGTCGAGAATTAATAAATCGATCGAGGTGGTGGTGAGAATTAGAGGGGCTACCGGGCAGTGTTCGCCATAGCAAAGTCTTCTCGATCGGCCGACAAAGAAGGAACTCGCGCACAGGCTTCCGGTCTCGGGTGGATAGGTACATGGAAGGCCGCTGTGACGGTGTTCCCCAGCTAGCCGAGGCCCACCAGGACCAGGGGCCATGTTCGGAGTTGGCGCCACGGCCAGGCGATGACGCTCCAGCCCCGCCGTCCGCCACGGGTCCACGAGGACTTGACGTCGTCGTCGTCGTCGTCACCGCCGCCGCCGTCGCCACCGCCACCGCCACCGCCACCGTTGCCGCTGTCGCTGAGCGCCGAGAGGAGCTGGAGGCGGGCCGAGAGGCCCGAGTATCAGACGCCGCGTAGAAAAGGCTCCCGAGAGCGGCGCCTTAGCCAATACCCCGGGAGGCATGAGGGATCGACCGAGGCAGTACCACGGCGCCCATTCCCACCACCACCGAGACCACTTTCACATGCAAGCTATGCCTCTGGAGGAGGTCCAGGGACTCCTGCCACCATCTTCCAAAGCAGGTGAGTTCCAAAGCAGAGTGGAGGCATTTCGACGGACGTACTCGCGACATGTCGTGGGCGGGACCATTCCTCGAGCAAGTGGGCCGTTCCGTGAACGATCCGTCCGCTCCGAATAATCCGCTTCTTTGCCAGAAAGTTATTATAGGCTGGTTTTTATGAGCGAACGGTAGCGCTGCCACTGAAGTAACAAACATGTTATGGAAACGTGGGCAAGAACGTCAAACTGTCTGCCGACTTGTGATTAATAACGTTACGAGAACTTTGTAATTCATTAGGATAAAGTAACATCTTTCCAGGCGCTCTGGTGGGATAAGAATATTCATAAACAAAAAAGAAAAGAAAAAAAGAAAAAGACAAGAACGAGGGTATGTAAGTTTATAAATATTTAAGGACTAACGGGGGAACCTGTGTACCAGCACACGGTTATGCTCGGGGCTATTTTGAGAAATTAATTGGTCTTGCTATCGACCCGCCAGGATTTAAGGTGAATTCAAAACACGATTACAAGTTTAAAAGCAAATCATTAAATGATATTTAACATATGGATGATAATTATTTGTTTATCCATAACCGTGTCATTGTAATGTAAGTTTGTATTGCAATTGACAGTCGTGGACTTATTGAATTGCAATTTGTAGTTGCTGTGGACATCGTTCCAGGCTGATTGTAAAACACAATAAATAATGATGATGATGATGACGATGATGATGATGCAAGCATAATACAAGTTCGAGCTCGTTATGACGCGATAGTGGCGCTTAAATTATTAATCTTTTTAACTTTCGCCATAGGCGCGATCTGATTTTATGATAAAGTTCTCTAAATACTTATGGACGAAGTGTGCAACGTAAGCATAAAAATATATGAAATTCTGAATCGCGATTATCGGAGTCCTTTGAGGGGACAATGTCGAAGATTGCATTAATAACTTCTTTTGCCCTCGATAAATCATGACTATATAACATATATCTACATTACGAGGATATTATTAAAATAATATGGGAAATGCTTATAATAAAATAATATCTACGTTAGAGCGAACAAAATGTTTTATTGTAATAGACGGTATGTGCGTGTACGTGCTCGTTATTAATTATCTATAATATTTAGCAATTCGGCATAATGTGTTTACAAGGCTTCACTCGTGAAGCTTTAATCTCGCTTAATCTCCAAAACTAATTCATAAATTCACGCTATTATTAACGCGACTATTATAGATTTATAAATGCATTTCGAGCGCTCGTGCAATCAAATCTACCTAATTACAGTTTCATAATTGTATTTATCAAATAAATAAAATAGATTATTTTACGTATCACAGCTCACGCAGCCATTGCATATAATCGAGGCACTGGAGAATAAAATGTGGGATATTAGCATGTTACCACTACACTATTTACAATTATTTCTTCAATCTCCTAAATAAGGATTTTCTAAATGTAATAAAATCTATAATTTGCTTGCGGTATCCTTTGCCACGTTGCGCAAATTATCAGATCGGAACTTGGCCTCTCGATGAAAAAATAGAATAGGGACGAAAGTAGGACTTTTCTCTAGTATCTGATCGTTGTAATTCACGGACATAGCACACGACAGGATGCCGAGTTAATTCTGTAAATGCCTATGGAAATTATCCGACGTGCGCGTAAAATCATTGCGCAACGTTATAATCACGTTGGCGGAACCGTTTGTTAAACTCCGTAAGTGGCATAGCGAGAGCAAAGGAAGCTCGATGAAATTTATTGTAGATTTGATAAATAGCCGGTCAAAGGTCATTTTATTAATGAGGAGCCGCCTTAGGTCCGAGGTGGCGAGTAACGAAGCCTTTTCCTCGATGCCGGGATCGATGCGAAGGAGGAGCGCTCAACCTACGCGAAAGTAGGCGGGAGTGGGGCGACAAGAGGATGAACGAGCCCTCACGCTCTGTCGATATCCGCAGGTAACCGCGGCTCCCTTAACGTAACCATCACCCAGATTGGCGACAGGGCCGGCGGCAATGTGACGGCCAAGAGCGACCTGTTTCACCTGGAGCCAGGATCCGACGTCAGGCCGACCCCGTCGCCGCTCTCCGACACGACCACGCTCCAGTCGGACAACGTCGACGGCTTCGCCGGTAGGTCTAACGGCAAGAATCACGGGATCGCGGGATGTCGGAGAAAGGGAGCCATCCGGGAGCATCCACTCATCTTCCTCTTAACGATGTTCCTGTTAATGGCTGGGCCCGCGACTCTCGTGCCTCGAACTTTGGCGGATCGCGTAATTTAAGAGTAATTTAATTTAAGAGTAATTTAATTTAAGAGTAATACAGCCGGTACTTGTAGCGCGACGGTACTGTAAGCGGTCGATTGGCATAAGCTACGACGCTTATTTGGCATCGGATGCAAAGCTTTGCAAGCTCGTCTCGGGTAATGGCGTGATAGCGTGCCGTGGGGACGGAATGTCTGTTATGTAATTTGTAAAATATCTGTGCTCGGTAACGTTGGCTTGAATTTGTTATGAAAGGCAGCAATTGCCGCGAAGTTGGAATAAATTATTCGACCAAAGTTAACGAATCGTGTGATTTTAGGTTGAGAGGTTGAGAGCTAGGATTCGGCAAACAGGAGGAATCAAGTTATTTAAGAGCCTATTTGCCGTGAATTGGAGCGATTGTCAAATAAACCGATCGAGCCTAGGAGATTTACGATTACGAGTAAAACTACTGGCGACTTATTGAACGTAATCCGATGAATTTGATATGTCTATATTGAGATTTTCGGGAGCTTGGTCTCACCTACGTGCGATCCTCGTATCTCCATTACACCTCGATGCAAATTACAATTACATGAAACTCACACATCGAACGTTACCGTTCGGGCATTATTTTAATTTTTTTTTCGCATTGATCAATTTTCCTTCGTCTCTCTCTCTCTCTCTCTCTCTCTCTCTATCTGTTCCCATTCTGTACGACTCCCTTTCTCAATGACGCTCAACGTGACGACGACCGATTGGTTCTTGGCCTTCGATCGACTTTCACCCCATTGTACGATTTTCTTCCGTTTTTATAGGAATCGATCCGAGGCTGCAGCTGGGAAGTGTGAGCGGCAACCGAAACACATGGGAAGGCCGGTATCGCGTGAAAGAGCATCGACGCGCTGGGAAGGCAACTTTCCAGGGCCAAGTATATAACTTCCTAGAACGTCCCACGGGATGGAAATGCTTCCTGTACCACTTCTCGGTGTCAGTACTTTCCCTTACCTGCTTTAAACTGCATATACCAGGACGAATAATTAATTATGTAAACGTTGCCGGTTGATGTTGGTTGCTGCGACTAATATAGCCACTCGCTTTTTGCATATAAATATTGATAAAGTTAAATTTGTATAAAGTCGAGTGAGCTTCTGGAGGAATAGAGTTAACATTTGTCGTTACTTATTTCTTTTTATCTTCATTTTCATTTCTCTAAATTTCTCTTCAATTAAATCACAACTTTACGACTATTACTGCTGATTTTGCGCTGGAGCTTGGGCTCGCCAGGACCTATTATCTTTGACATTTGTTTAGAAGCAAAATCCTTGCAAAGATTATCACGAAATTACATGAAAATTAAATATGGTAATTAAGCGTAACTGCATGAAGCTTGTATGACAAAAATTGCATCTAATGCTACGTAAATAAGAATTTATGTTCAAATTACGTTTGAAGCATCGTTGGCCAAAATACGTTTTCGTAATTATTAAGCTGACAATTATTCAACAAATCACATGATAAAAATGATTATTTTACTATATAAATATACTAATTTAAAAGTAATAATTTTGAAAATTATTATAACGAAATAAGGTACTTATTGTTGTGAAGTGAAAGGGAACTTTGTCCAATTTCGACCATCACCTCTTCTTCCCATTATTACCGTGAGACGTCGGCGAGTTGTTCCATGTCGTTATGACGCGCCATCGCCATATTAGAATTTCGGGATTTCGTTTAACCAAAGCAATATGACTTTATAACTTTTCTGTAATCTCTCTTGTCTACTTTCGTTCGCGACGAAGATATTAATTTTAAATAAGCCGCGAACATTTTTTCTTTCTTTCTTTTTTTTTTTTTTTTTGTTTTTTTTTTTTGTAAGATTTTTCACGATAATGACACACGACGATTGTAGAATATAATAATTTAGATTTCTATCTTATTAATTATGGAAATGACACTATTTTAGCAACGGAGAGTTGCTTGTCATGCATTAATAGCAAGCAATTGTCGCATTTAACTTAAAGACGAAAGAATTATTAAATTATTGTATGATTGTAGAAAGCAAAATGTTCCCTTGCAGGTTCATGGTGGTATTGGTGTGCCTTATATTTAGCGTATTATCAACGATAGATGAGTACAGTGACTTTGCGAATGAAACTTTGTTTTGGATGGTAAGTAAAGGATTTGAAATTTATACGAATATTCAATGTACAGGCCAATGATTTTCTAGTTAATAATGCTAGCGAGAGAGTGTGAGAATTAATAAATTTCTCCGATTATTTTCTTATAGTTGTAGTAATGAAATATTCTTCTATACGGCTTATTTTGCCGTGGACTTATCATTTAATCCTTTCACACGTACTCGTCTCGCCGAAATGAAATTAAATTTTACTCTCTATCGATAACAGCTATTCTTGCCACTTCCTTTTCTTCTTGCAGGAAATATGTTTAGTTGTATTTTTTGGCGTTGAGTATTTGGTGCGATTATGGAGTGCAGGATGTCGGTCCAAATACATGGGTTGTTGCGGTAGAATGCGATTTATTCGCAAACCAATATGTATAATAGGTAAGTACGTTGCTATTTAATTCTATTTTATCCTCGATTTGATAATAGTCCGTTCAAGATATACCTAAATGGAATAAGATAATTTTAAAGAATGGCTAGATTTATGTATTGTTGTAACGAAGCCACGGTAGTTTCCAAGTAAACAAGACTTTAAAAATTTTAAATTCAAATAAGATGTTTTTATATGAATTATCACTAGAATGGATATCACTGGAAATGCATGTAATTCTCGTAAATGTAAATGTGGTTTATTGCAGATTTAATCGTCGTGGTGGCGTCAATGGTTGTTCTGTCAGTGGGCAGCAATGGACAGGTTTTCGCCACTTCCGCCATTCGTGGCATCAGATTTCTGCAAATATTACGAATGCTTCATGTAGATCGCCAAGGAGGCACCTGGCGACTTCTTGGATCTGTAGTTTTTATTCATCGTCAGGTACATTAAGTAGCTATAAATTCTCATTCTTCAAAAATTTCACTCTATAATACATTGTGCATGCGCGTATATGAGTATAGTATATGTAATCTGTAAAGAAATTAGAGATGCCGTTAATTCCGACAAATTCTCATTAACTTAAATAATACATAATCGTTGGGTTAATTTGTGATTAGATATGTTGACAAGTCCGTACATCAATTTGTATGATCAATTTTAATAAAAAAAAAAAAAAATGCACAGCTAAATCCAACTATACAAGTATGCGTTAACGTTATTACGTTAACGGCTAATAATACATCCTTGATAAAAAAAAAAGGAGAGAGGGACGGAGGGGGAGGGGGGGGGGAGGGGTAATAACTCGTGTCTCTCCAATGTCAGGTAGATAAGAGTAAAAACAGCGGGTTAAGTGAAAGAAAACGTAAGGTGGCGCATGGAGATGTGCGCGGCGAGATACTTAGTCGCGTGTCACAACCGACACTCTTGATTGTACTTTCCCGGATGTAATTGTCGAATCGATCAATGTAGAATAGCAAAGGCTGTATTTAATGATAATGCACAAAACACGCGATAACAATAAATATATCGATTTGCATAAGACCTTGGCGAGGGCACGTGTAAAAAATAAAAGTTGTAAAATATGTTAAATCTTTTCGCTCTCTCTCTCTCTCTCTCTCTCTCTCTCTCTCTCTCACTCTCTCTCTTAATTATTTTACAACTGTATTGACGAAGAGCAATGCGGTGAAAATGATCGCACCTTTGCTTTAAGAAGCATAAAAAGGCAATGGTCGTGCAAATGATATTACGAGCCCAATTTTTCAGTGAATTTTTCTTTTTCAGGAATTAATAACCACATTGTACATAGGATTTCTTGGTCTCATATTTAGTAGCTACTTTGTATATTTGGCTGAAAAGGACGTCGTCGGACCGCAGGGCAGGACTGACTTTGCTAGTTATGCTGACGCTTTGTGGTGGGGCGTGGTAAGTGATATTTTAATGCCAGTACGGACACACGACTGGAACGATTAAAATATTAAATTTTTAATTTGACAATTTATTAATGGCAATTGTTCTATATTGCCCATACTTTTTTTAATCTACTAACATTTTTCCTTTTTTCTCCTTTTATGTTCTCATCATTTCTTTTCTTTGCTTTCCCTTACGCGCCCGTTATTTTGTACTTCAATTTTTAATGGTGAAATTTAAGCCTTTGAGATGCTACTTTCACAAAGGGATTTTAAAATTTTGTAATTCCATGAGGAATAGTCTTAACTTTGAAGTATATTACTCAAGCGCGGATATGTAAAATTTTCGGTATATCGTTTATTTTAATTAATTTTAACACGTAAATAATAATATTTCGTGGCGAAACGAAAAAAGATGATGAAAAAAGCATTAATTGTACAAGACTGTCATTCGTAACGACGCGACACAGCTGTTATTGAATTATTATTAACATCATATTATGAAAATTAATATTTTATAAAGTGATTCCCTTAATTGGCCAATAATTGCCTAGAAAACAAAATAGTTTGGCGTAGAAACGGTGCCAATGCCGCTCAACAATCACATTCCACAACATTCAACTTAATCTTAAATTTATCTCACACCCCACTGCCCATTATTATCACAAGACTCATAACTCGACGTCGACTCGAGCTATTAACATCATAGGGTCGAATGATTTTCCTTCTGCTTTCAGATAACCGTCACGACAATTGGATACGGTGACGCGGTCCCTCAGACCTGGATGGGAAAAATCGTCGCTTCCTGCTTCAGTGTCTTTGCTATATCTTTCTTTGCACTTCCAGCCGTAAGATATTCCAACAGTTCGTTACCGAATTAAATTACGCGCTAATGGCGTTGCCGAAATATGCAAGGTTCAGTACGTGCACGGGTTCAGTAGGTGCTAGAGTTATCAATCACAGTTAGAAATCCGAATGTTAATCGTATGTATCGGTAGTTACACGTAAGATCCACGTTGGACGTGCGATTATGCAATTTGTTCTCGCGAATTTCGAATCGTCGTAAAAGTAGAAAAGTGCTGGACCCGTGTCGTACCAAGTCAGTCGGGAATGATTGTTGCGCCAATGTGCCCGAGTTCCATACTCCTAGTCTTTCGGCCCGTATTTACCTACGGTACCTAATCCTTCGATTCTCAGGGAATTCTGGGCTCCGGTTTCGCGCTGAAGGTACAGCAGAAGCAGCGCCAGAAGCACTTTAATCGTCAGATCCCCGCGGCCGCGATGCTGATCCAGTGTCTGTGGAGGTGTCACGCGGCCGAGAAGTCGACCAACAGCGTCGCTACGTGGAACATTTACGTAAAGGACACTGCACCCACGGGACAGCCTGCGACGCCCCTTGGAAAGGTAAGATCGCGGCACTCTGACCCCACCTCCCCATCCCATCGAGTACTTTTGCATGTAGCCGTTAGATGTTGGATGTAACTGTTTCGATTAGGTGCTTCACACTCACGTGTAAATCTTCGCGTCCTGTGCCTCAGCGAATGGGCTCGCTCCGAGTCGCCAATAAATTATTTCAACGATCATACGCGTTATTGTAGATAATTTGGTGCTAATATCGATGTGAGCTGTTAACGTTGGAGCCCATTGTTTCATCTCTGTCGGATTTTGCGTTTATCGTTGTTTCTCGCAAGCTCGCGCGGGTGTGCGTTTTTTTTTTTGTCACGCGTACTTTACCATTCATTAGCATTTAATTTCAGTAAGTGGTTAAGCTAGACGTCGAGATATCGTAAGCAAAGGGAAAGATTCGCTAACCGATACGCTGACTTTCACTTGCTCTCAACGAAATCGTTACATCGTCGACCAACGTAATTAGTAAGTGACGGCGAAAACAAAAAGCCGTTAATTCAAATTACAGCCATAAGCGCACGTACGGATGTCTGGATTGAAAATGCGAGGAAAATATCTTAACAGCGCCAAGCTTACAATGGTACTATCAGTTCTGAAACGATAAATTTTTTTTGTTTAATACGCTACTTTAAATCATCTGCTTTATACTTTACTGTTAACTGCACTTTTTATTTTACTATGCAACTCAATTAGAGCAATTTCTCGTAAATTAGCGGATTAACATAAACAATTCAACGCTTTTTATATAATTAAACATTAACACAATATTATAATATTATATAATTAAGTATTACAAATATTACCTTTAAATATCAGCTACTCTAAGGCGAAGGTTAATCGTTTAATTTAACGAAGCTTCCATTAAAAATAACAACAGCTAACGTTAATATAATTAATATAATTCCGTTTTTTTTTTTAATCTGCTAACGTTTTATTCCATTTGAGCAATTTGTTGAAAATAGGTCTAATACGTATAGTATGTATCAGCGATAAAACTGAAAGCGCAGTACTACTTATTTATTCTCTTTATTAACTATGTTTATCTGTCATATTTCATTATTAGTAAAAAGGAACTTTTTCATCTGGTTAATACCAAAAAAAAAAAAAAAAATATTCTCGATAACTCACTATCTAGCTAGTTTTGGTTCTCTAATTGTGTGTATCTTTTTTCTCCCTTTCTGTCTTCTTCTTTTTAGTTTGTTTTTTGTTTTCATTATTAAAGAAATCTATCGTCTTCCACATTGACAAATATTAAGATGAAGCCCTATTAATAATGTATATTGTCATGTAACTCTAGTTATTGCCCAAGAAATTCATTTTTCATATCCACAAATTCAACCTGAACTACCTAACTAATGCAACACCTAACAATAACATCCGTCTTTTTCCTTTCAATCAAGAAATACTTTAGCCTTTCGTGCTTATACTTTGTACACCATTTTTTTTTTATAAAGGAATAAATGAAGTATCAAGTTGAAATAACTTTACGTATAAAATTGCCATCGACATTCTTATTAATTAATAATATAAAAATTCTCGTACTAAAAAAAAAAAAAAAAAAAAAAATTTGTACTCAACTTTAATATCTCGGAGCAGGGCTTTATCTTAAATTCTCATAAATAATGCAGTATAGTGTGTATACATTGTATTCAGTGCTGACAAACAATAAGGGTGGGCGGATAAAATAGAGAGAGAGAGAGAGAGAGAGAGAGAGAGAGAGAGAGAATGAGTAAAGAGCATGTGCCCGGAATTATGCTTTGCCTATGCTCAAACGGTCGTTTGCCAAGCTTTGCCGAGCTGTTCTCGTTGTATGTTTGTTCGCTTGTACCCCCCCCCCCCCCCCCCCCCCCCCCCCCCCCCCCCCCCCCCCACCCCCCCCCCCCCCCACCACCCAAATCTAAAAAAAAAAAAAACTGTCCCCCCCCCCCCGCACCTCAATCATCCCCCATCACCCCCTATCCGCGGCTCCCCCCTCCAACTACACTTGTAATATACATCGTAGTCGAGCGTGTAACACAATCCCCTCCTGTCCCCGTACGCGTCTTTGCATACGTAACGCAAAAAGAATGCACGATGTACGTAGAGCTCGCGAGGTGTATATAAGTTCTGAGTAATGGTTTCTTGGTCACTTCATTTTATCACTAATACATGGACGCTCTATCCAACAATGTGGATCTTACACATTTTAGCGCAAATCTTCCGTCATTCGCTTCTGCTCTTTCCCATTCGTCTCTTTCTTTCTCAAGCTTTCCCATTTAATTTTCGCCGCTATCGTACACCCCCCGTACCCCCTACCCCCATTCCCCCACCCTCTCGCATCCTCAATCGCCGCCCGCGTCACCTCTTCGCTTTCAGTTTTGTATTTTAAAAAATAAGCAAAATAAGGCTCGCGTATTACTTTGGCGCATTCGATAATGATAAGGTCTTGTCGCGCGGCCTTTTAACTTCCAAGTCGAGCTTTATTTTTAATCATTGAGCTGTAATAATAGCACTTCGGTCCCTTGACTCGAACGTCGTCGTAAGGTGAGCGTATTCGTGTTTGCCTTTCGGCCTGCCCAAACCAAACCGTAACAATCGCCAAACCCATAGCGCGTCCTATGGATTTTCACTCCCTCACTCCTCCACTTCCCTTTCCACCTAATCCTATTCCATACGGATCACTTATTCGGCTGCTTTTGACCTTGCGCTGATTTTTCCGAGCATCACGCGTAACTAACTATGTGCATATGTATAATTGAAAGAATAATGTTTAGCGCGTCGATGCGCATGATAAAGTGTAGTTAAGGTTTTAAGTTATATCGCTTAGTGCATTATCGATAGCTTGAACTTTTGCAATAGAGAGTCCGAGGATTATCGCTATATCGTGTATTTTACTAAAAATAGTATGTATTTTTTCTTCTTTTTGTTTATTTTTGTTTTTTTTTGTTTTTTGTTTTTTGTTTTTTTTTGTTTGTCACAATTATGTCAAGACCCAAGCAAGTTATCGAAGGAATCGGCTTTTCGTTTCTGTACTTTATTGTCGATAATGCAAGATGCTCGTATTTCAATTTAACAATTTAATCAATCGGCTCTCAACAAGTCTTGATCGCTAGAGTTAAATCAATATCACCGCTCATTTTTTTATCTCATAATCTATTTTCTGATGCTAGTCGACGTAATAATATTAAAGATACTAAAAACCTTAATATTTCAAATGAACGCAGAGCTCGCGCATTTATGCTTGATTTGTTTAGATAAAATAATCAATTTGCAATCTGGACGTTCATCCGAAGTCAAACAGATACCGTTACGTTAACATCCATTATTCGTGTACTCGGTGTTCAAGTATTACCCACTTTTTAAGTTCACCGTTAAAAAACAAGAAGAAGAAAAAAAAGAAGAAAAAAAAAAAAAGATTGATAACCGGTTTGCGTGAGGCAGTTCGGCGTTACCCACGCTGTTGACAACTTGATTTTACAAGCGTCTGCCAACTACAGTAATTCGATACATAATTTCAAACAGAACATAAAAAGATACTTTAACTTGGGCCAATATCTCTTATCCTTTTCTCTCATTATTAGCGTTAATAAAACTTTACGTGAAAATTTATTTATTTTGTGAAATTGCTTGCTTATTGGATGTAAATACTTCCCTGTTGTAGACTAGGAATGAATGGATCGATAGATTGTTGTCGAATTTTCAAGCTGATGTAAGCTCGTCCTTACACGATTACGTCAAACAGAGCTTGAATTGTAATTCTTAAATCGCCTGAGGTGTAACATTATCAGAATAACAATATTTATATTTAAAATGTCGATCCATCGCATTTCGAGACGCGCTATTGCGCGACGGCCATCGATTCTCAAGCCACAGAGCCACATTTCGTCATCGACTATTCCAACATTTTCCAATCCCTTAACCGCGACTCACATTCCGCTTAATTTGCCAACGTTTTATGCCGACAAATCAAATCGAACGGGAGGCAACGTTGACCCTATCTAACGTACTTCTTAGCCCGTGACAGAATCAATTCCTCGAGGGCGCATGATGTATTACTCCCGCATTCTCTTATCCAAATCGCTTTCATGCTCCACTAAACGGACACTAGCAAGATTTTCACGTCGATTAGACAGCTCGAATCGAGCCGAGGTGTCAAGCGTATCATTAATGTCTGCGCCAAAGTAACATAAGCCCGACAGTTGATGTCGCTACAAACAGTAGGACAAACTAAATGAGGAGCAAACGGAATAAAGGAAGCAGAGCCACGTGTACGTGCGCGTGCACAGGAAGAACGAGCAATGAGGAAAAACGGAATTTTACCGGCAAGAGTTGACCGAGCAAGCGTTGTATCAAAGCCTGCCAAAGTCATACTTTAAGCACGTCCTTGGCCAATACGCATAATAGCACGCGCGGAAAAAAACGTTACGACTTTTACGACTTTTACGGCTTTTACGTCTTTGACCGTCTTTGACGGCTTTCACGGCTTTCACGGCTTTGACGGCTTTGACGACTTTGACGGCTTTGACGGCTTGCCTGCCGATTTGCAAAACCGAACCTTAGGGTAGTGCATGCTGTGTGTGTTGGCTTATCGTAATGGGCATCGGGGGTTCAGTCTCTCATCATCCAGGTGGCAAAAAAGGCGAGCGTCTTAAAGCGTCGGAAGTCGCGAAACCGCATGGACGTCCAGCAAATCGAGCAGGATCCACAGCAGCAGCAGCAGCATCAGCATCAGCAGCAGCATCAGCATCAGCAGCAGCATCATCATCATCACCATCAGCAGCAGCAGCATCAGCAGCATCAGCAGCATCAGCAGCAACAACAACAACAACAACAACAAGCGCAGCAACAACAACAACAGCAACAGCAGACAAGCGCAGCAGCCATGGGAACGCAGAGCTCGCAGACGGACTCGCGCCTCGACAACGACGGTGACATCATCTTCTACATGGAAGAGCCCAAGGCTTGCACCCCCAACAGGGTCAGGAGGGAAAACCGGTGAGTGGTGGTAATAGTGGCGTTCGATTATTTCGCGTCGGCCGCCTATCCTCCCTCGCTCCTCATCAACCTATCGATTTTTCAATCGTCTCCGTCCGCGTCCCCTCCTACCACAGCCAGCCCCCTCGATCCCCACGATCTCCCACGACCACTCGAACCCTCGGCACCTCGACCCCTCGCCACCTCCCTCTCTCCCTCCCACCCGTCCCCGACCACCGCCTCCGACGTCCTTACGCGATTTCGCTCGAGCGTGAAAAAACATCGACGATCGTGGGAGTTGACGCGAGACTTTTCGCTATTATCGTGTCGGTTGTCGAATTTCGTGCGACTGTGTTAGTGCGGCCAGCCTTCCTTTCCCTCATAAACGAGTCGAATGAGTCGAGTAAGCAGGTAGAATGAGCTGCTACCGTTGCTGTCGCTTCTGCTGTTGCTGCTGTTGTTGTTGCTGCTATTGTTGCTACTGTTGCTACTGCTGCTACTGTTGCTACTGTTGATATCGTTGATAACAAATACTACGTGCATTTTTTTCATCGTTATTTCAAAGGGAGTAGCGGCGGTGGTAAAGGATGGCTAGGCGGAGGGGAGGATAAGGGAAAACAGAGAGAGGGGACGAGGGAAAAGTCGCGCGAGAGTTGTTACGCAGCAACAGCGGTTACGAGCTTATTTTCACACATTGGTCGTTAAAGTACATGCGATTACGCGCGTGGCATTTCACTTCAATATGTCCGGCAAAATTTCAATGGCATATCAAGTTTGGTTGGAAGCTCCAAGTACGTCGCCATGTTTTTTAATCTTCAAATTTATTGGCTTAGGAGCTGTAATTTTGACGAAACACCCTTCGTTCCATTATTCGCTCTTTCGGCTCCAGCCCTCTTAATGCGACAATACCTATTTAGCTAAAGAAACCCTTGAATCACATGATCAGCAATCATCAGCCGATCCAACAATATGCAATTCATTCATAATCTAAACTTCTTCGTGCTATCATGGCTGGTCATATTTTCAGAAATTTTTCATTAGGCAAAGCTTTGTTTGCCAGAGTGACAACGAGTCGATGCTCCAAGAGCACGCGATAGGCTATCTAATAGGCTAATAAAACATCCAAGCAGAGTTTTAATAACGATACTTAAACATTCCATAAAGGGGCTTTCAAATTGCATATTTAAAAATTTGCTGATGCAAGCAAAGCAGCTGATTAGTACGAACGATTCGCCAACTTTCGCCAACAACGAACAATTATTAAAAGCTTTGCCATTATTTTCACGCATCATCATTCGTCAAACATCGTAGTAAAATTATAAAATAACGATCTTGCTATCGTATCTCTCTCTCTCTCTCTCTCTCTCTCTCTCTCTCGACATATTTATAAAGGATATTTTAATCATTTTTTACTTCTTAGCACAACATCTACTACATCGCTCAAAAAAAAACAAAAAACAAAACAAAACAAAACAAAACAAAAACAAAAAAAGAAAAAACAAAAATGAAAAAACAAAAAACAAAAAACAAAAAACAAAAAACAAAAAAAGAAAAAAAAAACGGAAAAAATTCTTTTTATCCGCGCGTAGTAATTAAATATGTAAGGATAAAAATCACGTCATCGATTTCATTCGCGACGCAAGTCCTATACAACAACCGCTAAGCCTCCAAAATCCGGTCATGGATTGTCCCTTCTTTTTTCTTCCACTCTACTCTGAATTATCCATCATCGTCAAGAAAAAAAGATTCGACGATTCGTCAAAGATGAGCACCAACGGTCGCGTACGGATGATTACACATCAAGTTCGTCGGGCGCTCTCGTGTCGTTGCTCGCGAGCAGTCGTCGCTATTATGGACGAGAGGACGGACCTTTTTACCGACGACCCAGCTCACCCGTCCCACCTCAACGGCCCCACGAGCGGCACATCTTTGCCACTTTATCGAATGAGTCGAGTCCCGAATAGGAGGGCACGCGCTAATTCCCACCGGCGTGCTTTCGCGCGGCTAGTACTTTTCCGCGTGGGTGCACGCGATTGCCGCAAGGAGTCGTGTAAAAATGAGCCAGCCAGCCTACTTTCGCCCCTCCACCCTCCACCCACCACCCACCATCCTCCGTCAACACCCACCTCCCTTGCCAATCCATCGTAGGACGATTCATTTCGGCCGTTACGAGCCTGGCGTATTTTTAGCCCCGGGCGCATCCGACACACGCGGCCCCTGTCCGACAAACGTCCCCGACGAACGCCCACGCCGCTCCTCCGCGCCCCACCCATTCCCCCCAACCGCTCAAACACCACCACCACCCTCCGTCTCTCCCTGACCCAACACACGCACACGCACACGAGCTGCGGTGGGTGGGGCGAGGGGCGGGGATGGGGGGGGGGGGGACGGTCGCCAACACCGAGGGGGGGGGGGGGGGGTGGGGGGGGGGGATGGGGGGGGGGGGGACGATCGCACAAAAGAGGAAAGGAAGGAATCCGGGGATTCAGTTCGACCGGGCTCGGTAGGAATCCCTTGCGGCGGCCGGGAGGGGGTTTGTTTTTCGCCGGGGCATCCGATATTTATTAAATTTCACCGCTCTACCCGGGCTTATTATGCATGAAATTAAAGAATTCATGGGCAGAGCGCAGGCAGCTGTGGATTATCAGCCGACATCACGTGATTATTTCATTCTCGGCGAATGCATTTCCGCGGCTTTAATCAGTTACCCAGGACGGCTAATTTGGCTCTTGAAAAATTGAAAGAGGCTGATTCGGGGGACGGTCCCGCACCTACCTACTCAACCAACTCAACAGAGTTACGAATACTAATATATATATATACTCGAGTTTTTCATGTTTATCCGTTAAATGAGCGCCACATCCTTCAACTCATTTTCACGTCGAGTTTTACGATTAGGATTACGCTCCTTCGTGTCTCAATACTAACGCGGATCAAATGCCGCTCGGCCAGACTAGCCTGAACAATTGGATATTTTCGTCGTTAATGAGCTCGACGTATGTCGATTAGCGGGCAATACTTACGATGCTCCACCGAATTTGCCATTCGTGTTGTAATTGTCGTTTAATAAAACAAATACATTGTTTCCAATTATTCTCTGTAAGCCTAATTATCTCATTGACCAAGTAGCGAGGCTTCGTGTTGCCGTGAATTAAAGCTTCGCTGCGATCGTATATTTGAATAATTACCAAAATCGGTTTACATAAATTACAGAAATTAGGGCTGGTCATGGATAATCGAGTGAATCAAGAATTTCGTAAGAGATATGTACGTACGACGTTATTATATATCGTGGTTCGTCGTGATTCATCGTGATTCATCGTGATTCGTCGTTATTCGTCGTTATTCATCGTGATTCGTCGTGATTCGTCGTGATTCGTCGTGATTCATCGTGATTCATCGTGATTCGTCGTTATTCGTCGTTATTCGTCGTTATTCGTCGTGATTCGTCGTGATTCGTCGTGATTCGTCGTGATTCATCGTGATTCGTCGTGATTTATGCACACTGTTTTCTCGACTAAAATTCCTGCCACACTGAGCGCTGATATTAAATAATCTTATGATAAATACTTGGCTATGATAACGACAACTACCTAGAAATACGTTTTTTTTAATGACCAAAGATTATCATTATGCCACAATATTAGATCATTTGTATCCGCAGTATTTCATATGCGAGGGCATACAATGGAAATAATTCATCATTTATTAACAAAGTAATAAGCTTACGTTGTAATCCGAATGAGAAGGGATCTAGTATAAAGTACATTGTATCGTATTATTTGGAAATTCATTGAAATCGTCGAAAAACGTAAGGCAAAGTTTCCCATAAAATTTTCAATGCTACATCTGCAAGATAATAAATAATCCGTAGATATCGCGCGCGCACTCGCGCATCCGCGCAAACAGCTATGGATGAATTTAATATCCCCTTTTAAATAACAATCGTACGAATTACATCGACGTGCACATTAATCATACGCCTAGTGAATAAAGCAGTCGAAGGGGCAAGGAAAGTGCGGTAGGCTCGTTCCGAACTTTCACTACCCAAAGATGTCGGGGATGAGGCCAAAAGCGAAAGTATCCATGTCGACTAATAATTCTTAAAGGCCCGAGCTTTAACGCCCAATTATACAAGGAAGTTTCAGCGAGCCGTCCAATCGCTCAACAATCCTTATCCTCGCACAAAGTCGCCCGAACATTTCGTTATGGCGATTTATTTGGCTTCCGAGCTCGTGTCCGCGCCCAGCTGAATGGCGCGCGTTGAACTTTTTCAGGGGCAGCCTCTTCACCTCGCAGACGAGCTCCGTGACGGAGGCGGCCAGCGACGAGATCGACATCGACATCGACGAGCCCCAACGAGTCACCACGTGAGTACCATCAGAGTGCATGCATCACACAGTCCTTATGGATGTGGACAAACCCCGGCAACTCCCCGGCAAACTCGGATTAAACGTTTTCAGATAGCCACTGTTTTCTAACATTTCCAATCTAATATTTCTTTTGTTATTTGCAATTTAAATGGAAGGCGCTCCGGGCCGCGAACGCTTTGTGCCTTCGTAATTTTGCTATCGGCTGGCTTGTTTAGCGGTACGAACGATCATCTGGGGATAGGGGTTGTTTTTTTTTTTTTTTTTTTTTGCGTTAAATAAATTTGTCTCATTGTGCGATACCACGATGATTTAATATACGATAATAGGCGGATAATTAATCAGCGGAGATTATAATCAAAATATAAAAGGGTTTTTTCGTGCATAAATGAATGAAAAACGTTCGTTTATGCACTTAAAATTTCGTTTCGTAACAATTTCTTTACCATATCGAGGCTTGGCCCCTTGCTATTGGAAACTGAAAGGTAATAAAATTCCTTATGATAATTATTGATTTCTTCAATTAATTTCGATACGTACGTAATAATATAATAATATAATGTATATTTTTTCGACCATTTATTTCGTTCATTACACTCGTATTTATTTATTGAATTATGGATGAATTATAGATGAATAAGACCATTGTAAATATGTACCAATACTACCTGACAATTTATCATTACTTTATTATAATCACTATCATTATTATTATAATTATTATCATTATCGTTTTCATTATCATTGTCATTATTATCATTATCATTATTGTTACAATTGAAATATTATTATGTTAAACGTTAGATTATGTTAAATTAATATATAACAATAGTATTATGGGACTACTAAGTATTAGCTTAGTAAAATAATGGAAACATTATATCAAACCAGTGAATACGTTTTGCAATATATTTTTATAAGTCTTATCGTACAATGATCCGCATTAAGTGGAAATTTCCGTTTGCCAAAACTGAAAATTCGTAATAAAGTAGAATATTATGTCATGTTTTTTTTTTTTTTTTTTTTTTTTTTTTTTTTTCATATTATGCTACACTTTATTATTTTCTTATTTACAATTGTATCAGATCGAATATATTCCAGGTCTTTTCAAGCTAATTTCAATGCATTTTTTATAGGACAAAACTTTATCTAAATAAGCAATTTAATAAAATAATGTAACTCTATATAGTACGCGTATAGTTGTGCTTAATAATATTATTACAACACACAATGGTAATTTGCCAATTTATTATTTCGTTTTGTCTTTCATAAATATGAATTTGCAAAGAGTATGTTTTATGTTATGTTTATCAAACACATATGATTTATTTTTAAATTGTAACGTAGGTATAATGGTTGCTTGTTAATACTGGATTACAATGTTCTACAATAATAATAAGCTGAATACTATGCATGTTTTATACAATGTACTACATAGTTAAATATAAAATGTGTATACTATTATCTTGTCAGAAGTGAATATTTTTATACTCACCACGACACACAGTTACTTTTATTAACAATCTATCAGTTTTATCAAAGACTTTGCTAATAAAATAATTCTATATATATATATATATATATAAGAATACGTAAACCTATAATTTTTACTTATATTTATCACCCGGCATTCGTTTATCTAACTATTAAATTTTATTACCAAGACTGCTAAAATTGATATTATCCTCTTGCACTGACGACTCTAATGTAATTTAGCTCTATAAGACATTGCATGAAAAAAAAAAATTCGGATTTCATAAAGCTTTTATTGCATTGAATAATTATTTACATCAAGTTACGCGGGTCTATTCATAAACAATACATACGGATTATCGAATATCGTTTTTGATTTTTAGCAACGATAAAGCTACTGTTTTTCTTTAATGTTTGCAAGCAATGTAATTAATTCATGATAAGTAGTATGGTTTTTAATGTCGAGTGCGCTTACGCACAAGGATTTTGAATCGTTACTATCAAAACTTGAACAATGTTAAACAGCGAGAGTTTTGCAAACCAATTGGCAATTGGCATCGATACATTTGCCTCAACGCAATAACGAACAATGCGAAACACTAAAATCCCGTCCATCAATTTACACATTAATTGTATGTATCTCGCATTGCGTTTGACATAATTATAATGTCGTAATAAATACTTACATATATGTAGTTACGCTTACATAATATAATGTATCGTATGCGACACGAACGTATAATTAAATATAAAAACTTTAGATTAACGGAGACACACCGGAATGCGATACGAGCCATTCGTAAGATCAAATACTTCGTTGCACGTCGCAAGTTTCAACAGGCACGCAAACCCTATGATGTACGCGATGTCATTGAACAGTACAGCCAAGGTCATCTCAATATGATGGTGCGGATTAAGGTAAGAATAATAATTCGTTGAGTCGTGGATATTTTTACTTACAAGCCGGGTAGTTGGCTCTATCGATAAATAAGCGAGATTCGTGTTGGAAAGTCATTGGAGCAAAGTAGCTGCTAATTCGATAGATTTGCACTCCTTTGTTACGCGAAATAAATAGTCGCTCCGTAGGTTATTAAGTGGCGAAAGCGTTGATCGAGGAGGATCAGCCGGATAATGTTATTTGGGCTGTTGGCGTTATCGAGACGAATTTTGAAATATTTCCTTTATCCATTGCTGTATTTGTGTGTTACGCGTTGAGTATCGTCGACCTTACTTTATCCTCCTTATCGTTGGAGCGACGCTAATAATGCTATCGCGGCGATCGCGGGCGCTGTTGCCTTTTGAATTTTCAAATACAACAATTACTCGTTCGAATAATCCGTTTGCCTTCGGCCGAACAACGGGGACGTTAAAATTAGACGACGAGACCGCTTTAAAGGCGCGATGAAATGACGGCTTGGGATGGTCGTGGCAACAAAAACAAACAAAACAAAACAAAAAAGCGAGTGATTCTCGTCGACCGGCCGATATCCTATCGGCGCCACTGAAAATCTTGCGCAATGGATCGATGAGGCGACGACGGGATATCGGGCCGGATGCCCGGGAAGATCCATCGCGTACACGTGTGTGCATTGAGGTCGTAGGCGAAAGCTTAAAATGCAGATGCGCGGGTGGATGTGGGCGCTATAGACGGTTAATGCGGGGTCGAGCGCTCGTTATAAAAATCGATGTTGTGCCGACAGGAGCTGCAGAGGCGCCTCGATCAAACTTTGGGTAAGCCGGGTAGCTACCTTGCAGGGATCGATCGGGCTGGTAATATCAAGCCAATGACAATTGGCGCACGCCTCTACAGAGTCGAGCAGCAGGTGAATGGTCATATATTTTCGTTTTCTCATCGTCTTCGTTTTAATTGGATGCGCTACGGCTCAGCCGACTCGACGAGGAAAAGCAAATGTCCAAAAAAAAATTTGTTGCTCCGAGCGGCGGGGACCGCTACTTGCGAGCAGACAGTTCCGAATGTGAAATAAAATGAATGTGAACTGGTGTTTCTGGTCGACGAAACAGTTTCCTCCCCTCCTTTTTTTAATATCGTCGCTCCTTTAATTAAAACGATTTTTTTAAGGATGTCGCGACATATCGCGAGCATTTATAATGTAAATGAGAGATACGAGTAAATTTATATTCGGTCGGCTGGTAATCCACGAACAAGACTAAGGAATAAAATGAAGACATTATGTATCTTATAGCTTGATTGTTATTCGAAGTTCTACGTGTCTCTAGCACTTTGTCGTTGAAAATTAATATTTAAAATAAATAATTATATGACGTCAAGCTTATGAATCTTCAACGTGGCTAATGATGACGATATATCCGAAGAATTTCATAAAAGTCGTAAAACGAAATCGCGCTATATATGCTTTATTCCCTTCTTTTCGTCATTGTTGTTGTTAATAAATTAATTTTTAATATAATTTGGTTGCCATTGTAGATACAATGGTACTACATACATTATTCGTAAGTAATATAAAATAATAACTAATGCTTTTCATGTTCTACCACTTCACGTGCCTTATTTTTCCGTTATGCTGCTTTTAGCAAGTCATTGATTTTGAATGCATACGTCATGCCACAATTCTTGAATTATTGAATATATTCTTCTTTGGATTGTATATATATATATATATATATATATATATATATATATATATTTAATAAATGTTATTTCTGGTAAATATTTTGATCTCTGTAATGCACGACAAGTGACCTCGATACAATAATCATTCATATTGGCAAATATTTCTATTGTTGAGCCATCGAAAAGTTTTGGTTTATAAAATTTATTATTTAACAACATAAAGGTTTTATTTATCGAATGCTTGACACTACTTATTTTACGTATAATTCGATATTGTGTGGATTTCAGTGCCGAGGTCGAGAATTCTAAAAGAAATGAGAGAAAAAAAAATATATACAATAAACAGAAGCCAATTATTTTATATCAATTTTTCTTTTAAATTTTTTCCAATTGTAACATAAATATGCTGTTGAAAATTACATCTGATATTGTAAAATTCTTTTGTACATTTATTTCAATTTATTCGCCAAAAAATACTTTAATCGTTTCGATTTTATTTCAATAAAATTTTTTTTCCATCATTTAACATCAAATAGTCCGCACTTACAATTTTACCAATCAAATAACTTATTAGAAAATTATAAAGAAAAGGATTTTAACATTATCATGTTTCAAATCCTGTTAAATATTGAATTTCTAATGAATATTTTATTTGAGATCATGTTATTAAAGATGGAAAGATTTTTTAATTGAATATTACCTTGAATTTATGATAGATTTAAAAACTATTCGGCAATCTAAAGAATAATAAGTTTTCAACTGTCATTTCTTTCTTATTTTTTTTTTTTTTTTTTTTTTTAACGACAAAGTATAAGCGTTCGAGTAATATGTTTTATTTCAGCATCAAAATATTACAAATACAAATTGGCAAAATATCTCCTATCTATAATAATGGCCCACGAGATGTTGTATCTATTTATGTAATTATTGTTTATGTTGTAATTATTTATGTTTTATAAAAGAATTTAACATTGTCATGCTACTATCATTTTAAACCAATTTCCATAATATTACGTAAAAAAAAAAAAATTAAGCAAGACTTTGTTTCAACGATGTTTCTTTATTCTAATAATTATGTCATAAAACTTTAAGCTTATTATAAAAATAAAATTCCAGCCTCTTACATGAAGGTTACCATATTTTTTAAACATTGAACTTTTTATAGTCTGATAACTTGGAGTTTGCAAAAGATGAATGCAATTTTCTTTCACATTCGGAACAATAACTATCATCAATATACTATATGAATTAGGTATTAAATTGCCAATTATAACGAAACTATATCCAAACAATATCCGTCTGTTTTTTATCTGAAATTGATTGCTTTAATTTAATATCCACTATACGTCATATAGTGGAAATATACGAAAGTCATTTCTTTTAATTATTAAAATTTAAAAGGAAAATTGATAATACATTACAGCTTAAGCTTAATTAATGGTGTTATTACGAATGTACCATTTTCAGATAATAAAAATAATTATGTCACTTAAGCCAATAATATAAAAATAATAAGTAACGTGTTATAATATATATTTGCACTTATTTTGATAAATATTTTGAATTTCCACTTGGTTCAGCTCGCGAGCCTTTAAATTCTAGTTATAAAGTAGAAGTTATTTTCCACTTTATATTCATTGTAATTCTAAAAAGCTGGTGATTCGAGGTCGATAGAAAGGAAATGATAGCAAAATTAAAAACTCTCTCGCAGAACACGAACAAAAGATCAATTGAAGCACGATACACGTAGATCGAGATGGCGTTAATGGTTTTGCATAATTCGTATTCTATTGTTGCAGTTGTCGATAATGGAGAAGAAATTAGACCAGCTCATGTATGTGCTGAATGCAGTTGCACACAAGCAGCAAATTCCCCTTCGTAGTATCGAGGATGAAGTTTAATAGAGTGAGGTTTAAAATACGAACGATCTAAAGTCAACTGAAATCCACTCGATTGCTACTACGTTATGCTCGATACGAGATCGCGTACAGTAAAAAATAAAAAAAGAAGAAAAAGGATAGAAAGTAACCATCATCCTTTCACATAAAAAGCACCATCTACCGGAAAATGTATCGGTATGCTTTTGAACGAGGCGAAGGTTGGAAAAAGTCAAATAAAATGTAGAAATTGTACACCTTGAACATGGTATGTACACTTAACGCAATACTACTTCTTTTGGGTTCCTATTTTCCTTCCTTTAAGAGCTTATATAACGAAATGCACAATATTCTGGCATTTAGAAATTCAATTTATAATGTTACGCGTATGAATACATTACTGTGAAATTAATGAGCATCTAGTATAAAATTTAAATCTTTATCAAAAGTGCTATTTCTACATTGATGTACTTTGATTTTCTTTGACACTAGCTTAGCTAGTGTAAAGAAATAGGTATTGAAGGAAACGTGTTCGTATAAATAAATCGTAGATCAAAGGAACGCAATAAAATGAAGTTTTACACAAACGCACACCAGAGAAAAACGAACACACAAATGGACGATGCATCTTGATATACCAATGTGTATGTGTCCGATATGTTAAAACAATGACAAACTCGTCGTGATGCATATTCTACATCCACAAAGGTATCTTTTAGTGCATTAATATAGTGATGTATAGATACATACATATAGATTATACATACGACCAGAATATTATTTCAACATTACACGCGCATATAAAGGCCTGTATATAGTGTAATATAAAATTTTCGTTTTGAAATTAATAGAATATAGGAAGATAATGCGTATATTGTTAATAAGATATCCCGTTTCGTTCATTATGTAATATGTTAGTGACAAAATTGTACGATCAAATTTCATTTATTTAGATTTAAATATCTTAACAAAGTAGTGTAAATTTATAAGAAAACTAGCTATGCTTATTATATAATTTTTCCTTACTACGTAATTCGAAATAATCAAGTTTACACAATGCTATTTAATTTTTTCATCTACTTACAGTATTTCTAAAAAGCAAAACTTCACATTTTGTCGTACTGTAATTTGAGTAGAAATATGTTTTTGAAAATTCAACATTAATATTACATAGTGAAAGTCGGTTTGATTCGCAAAGCACTTTATATAAACATATACATACATACATACATAAATACATAAATACATACATAAATAAATGCATGCGTGTATACATACATATGTAATAATAAATATTATTTCTAGTTAGGTCACGTTCAATTTATGTATATAGAATAAAATCTACTTTTCTGTGATTTATATAATTACGTAAATATTAGATTCTTACAATACTTGAGCAACTGTCTTATTAAAAAAAATAATGCCGAACGGATAATAATCTGTACAAATCTATAAATTCTTTAACGTGGAACCAATTACATTACCACATAAATGAAAAGCAATAAAACAAAAAAACAAAACAACAAAAACAAAAACAAAAACAAAAAAAAACAAAAAAAAAACAAAAAAAAACAAAGCAAAAAAAAATACAAAATTCAAATTAATTGTTTTATTTGCAATTGTTTAAAAGTAATTAAGATATTCAGAAAAAATTCATACATTTATTTATTTATTAATGATCAGAAACCTCCCGTATGATCCAGGTACAAAACATAATTTAAATTGAAGTGCATAAAACTTATCAACCTTATTGTAAAAATAAATTTAACGATAAAATATTTTAAAATTTATTTAAATTATTACTTTATTATTAAAATTTATTATTAAATACCATTTATCATCGGTTGGCTTCAGTATATCAATTCAAAACGCACATTAAATGTGTGAAATCACAAAAATTATTTATTAACTAAAGATATATTTTGTTATTATTATTATTATTATTATTATTATTATTATTATTATTATTATTATTATTATTATAAACGATAGTGTATATATATGTATATATATATGTTAATGCTATAATCATACATGGACTGGCCTCATATTATATGAGATATTTAACTAAATTTTAATTAAATGTAATTACGAAATAACACAAAATTTTCTTAATAATAAAATATAAAAACAAAGAATTACAATAGTAATAACAAATGCAAAATCGAACAATTAAAATATTTACGAATGAAAGTATATTAAAATCAAATCTATTAAAAATCTCTAGATTAGACAAGATTTTATTCAAATGAAAATATAATTCTACACAAATAATCGATTAAACAATAATACTACTAATAATAATAACAATAATAATAACAATAATAACAACAATAACAACAATAATAACAACAATAACAACAACAACAACAACAACAACAATAATAATAATAATAATAATAATAATAATAAGAAGAAGAAGAAGAAGAAGAAGAAGAAGAAGAAACAATACCCAAGTATTTCCGATATCCACATTATTAATTTTAAATGAATTATTGCAAATAGTAGAAAGAGGCGACTGAGGGCTAATATTAATATTCTATCTATAAGTGAAATAATAATTATTTTCGCATAATCTGTTCAATAGACACATACGGCCATACGTTAAATACATTTACCATCATTTTGCAAAAGTGAGTATTTATTGAGTTTCAAAAAATGATATTATGTTTAATGAATGATTAAGTGCTTTTGGAAACAGCGAGACATGACATAGATTATAAACTAAAGTGATTGTTAAGTAAAGTGCCTAAGCGTCTCGGAATCGACGCCACCACGATCGAATTGTTGATGCGTGATTATTATTCGTTTGAATTTGAAATTATAAATCTAATTGGATAAACCTAATGTTATATCTGGACAATGACGATTATATATTGGCAATGAAAATTATCACGAAATTATAAAGTACCGAAATCATTTAATTAGTCGATTGCATAATCCATACCAGATAATGAAATTATTCGATCGATCATATCTAAGACGTTTTTTTATCATTAAATTTCGTCTATTAGGAATTAATTTAATTGTACATGGCGTTATGTAATTAATTGTACAATAATTCATCCAATGTTTAAAGAAGTTTAACGATAGTTTTCACAAGTTCCTCGGTAAGCTTAATCATGAACGATAAGATTCTACTTAAAAAGAGAAGAAAAAAAAAAAAAAAAAAAAAAAAAATTTCTTCAATAAGGAGTAAAAAGTGGCAAAAATTCTATCAAAGTGAGAAATGAAAGATTCCACGAAATTCTCATTTACGTAGTGTAAGAAATATTTCAGTAGTGTTCTAAGCGCTTCTGAAGCCTAGACTTAACTATTATAAAATAATGACTTTACAAAAATCTTTGGGAACAAAGCGAATCTTAAATATAGCGCTTGACTCTTTCGCACTTCTATAAATATTGCATGCTGCATGCTATAAAAGGTGCCTTTAGTCTAGACCAAAATCTCGTAACGAATACAATCATCTTCTCCTTATTTTCTATCGTTGTTAATTTTATAATAAATGTAAGATTTTTTTTATTGAATCTAGTCAATGTAATTTAGAAGAATATTCTTGCGTGTAGATTAATCGGGCGACTAACAAATGTAACGAAGCTAATAATAATATGCGCTAGACAGATTTAAGATTTCGATGACATATCTTTATTGCTTTAAAACAAACGAATAATAAAAGATATCACAAATTAATAACTGAAACTTTCACTCTCCCTTCCTTATTGCATTACAGTAGAATATTTATTAATATACCGTTCAACGACATTATTAATAATTGAAAGAAGAGGATTGATTAAGTATTGCCGAGAGACTCACTCTTAGCAGTTAAATGTTTTTCCCATCAATTTTTCTGCATTAATTGATATATTTATACCCTAAATTAAACGTTCTATTTTGTTTTTTGTTTTTAGATAAATTTATTCGATTAAATTATAAGATTGTAAATAATTGTATATCAATGATCGTTTCTTATTTCTCTATGCAAATATATTTGTGATTTATGAACTTACGAGTTGTTAATGAAATCTAACATATATTTTATAAACAAAACAATATTAACGCATTATGTTTGCGTTATTGAGTAACGTTAAGCAATATTGAGTAATAAAGAAACTTTTATTCAAGTGTTAGATTAATTCCTCGACTCCACAATAATATCATTAAATGCATTTGCAAGCAATAAAATGAACGATTTCATTTTTCCATTAAAATTTACCATATTTCAACAGCATATATATTATATATTAATCTCTACGTAGCTTTAATCAATCAAATTGAATTACAAGGTTTTCTTTTATTACTATTGCAAAAATATTACAAATAAAGAATTTTATTATCATAGGCCATACACTTTATAATAGCAGTAGCTGTAATTCTCTGGATACTCGTAAATTTTTTTATATATAAAATTTTATTTTTATTGCGCAAATTTAAATTGAATGTACGAATAATGTTAATTTAAGGTTTTCGTGATTATATCTTAAAAAAATTTTTTTTTTAATCTTATTGACTCTTATCGCTTAAATTACATATAAATAATGGCAATTAATGTCAACGGAACTATTTTTAATAAATTTCTAATATTAATTATTGTTTTGAAGAAATGTGCTAAATTTATTATGCGTAGAGGATTTTTCTTTTCCATTTGCAACAGAGTTCTTTATTCTTTTTATCGGTGCGATGGAAAATATAATCTTTCCAGTAATATAGATTGTAGGTGAATATTTCATGTCGGAATTCTCTTTATTGCTGATAATAAGGTGAGGCAAGTGTAACAACGGGTAAGTCAAAAGATTATTATCATACACATAAAGGTGTGGAATTCACCTTGGTCTTGCTAATTCTTTCACAAAGAATTAAGGGAGTGATAATTCATAGAAGGTAAACGAACAAATCGTTTTATACCATGAAAAGTAACAGTTTCGGTTAGTTCATTATTAGCGAATATGGCTGGAATGTTCCAAAATCAATCTGGATAAACGTCTCAAATAATGTTCTATAAGATTGTAAATATCAAAGTCGTACGGGCTCTACAAATAAAATATACGATTATGTGTAATTTCTATGTAAAAATTTTTGTATAATCAAACATTTTCTGCTTCTTAATATAAGCAATTTTCAATATTAAGAATAACAGTTGCACATAACGACAATTATTTTAAATAGAAATTTAATTTTTCGTAATATCTGTACATGGAAAGTGAAAGAGCCAAAAATGCTTTATTCATAATCTATTTGTGGTAAAAACAAATAAGGGATAAATATAAAATTGCATCATATTGGTCACATCTTGTTAAACATTTTGTTTTAACTATACCAAATAAATAAATAATCGTAATAGATCGTAATAGACATCATCTAGGCAAGCCGAATCTTCGACAACGTACAAGATCAATTAACAAAAATAAATATAATTTAGGATACTGTAAATTCGTATTATGTACTTGTATATGTAATATGTAAATAAATATGCAGCATTTCATAATATCGAGACGTTACAGATAATATAAATTTATTCCCAAATTTACAGGCGCCATCTATCGAACGGCAGTGACATAAAAGCTCAACAATTTTGACCGAGTGAGTTGGCCGAGCTCTATAATAAACTAAAATCTAAGTGTTTTTACTTTTATTTAATCATTGTATTTGGCTGTGAACTGACTTTTAAATTTAATGACCGTTCGCACGGGGAATTACAATTTCTTAGGTAATTATAATGTTGCATATTAAATATCGAATTGATGATACTGTAATTCATGTTGAATATGTTATAGTAGGAATAATTATTTGTATTCAGTAACGCTTAACCTACAACCTATGCATTTCTTAGCAATTTAATACATTAATAATCATTATATTGTTATTGACAAAATAATTCAAATAAATTAATTGGATACTTGTAATTTCTATTTGTTTCGCAAGTCAATTTGAATATTTAGCGGCGTGCTTTAAAATTTTATTAATATAGAAAATTCATTTACCTCTGGTTCGTTATGTTAACTTTTTTCTTTATCTATAGATATTTTTATATTCATGCGAGTCTGATATTGTCATTGATAATTTATAAGTGCACAGTATAATATAGCTATATAACATTATAGGCTAAATATTCATTGCATAAATTAAGAAAGATGAGTTATCATCGAAGTAACAATGCTAAGAAGCAAAAAGGATTTGGATTTGCTGGATTTCAAATGTCAAGTACTAAACGTACGGGAGCAGCTATACCTCCTGTGCCACAAAATTCAGGTTTCAGTAAACAGGGTTACCATACAATGAATTCTATTACTGAAAATGCCTTATCAGCTTGTTGGAGTGCGCCAAAAAAACATAACAAAACAGAAGAAGAGTAAATTATATTCCCATAAGTATTAATTAATTAATACGTAATGGTTTTAAGTTTAAAATAACAGTATTATTATTTAAAAATTATTTAGATATTTTGACGATGATGAAGAAACTGCGACATCGTCAACTTTAGAATATATTCCGGCTCCGGGTTCGCCGACGTATGAAGAGCACATGAGAAAAAATCAAAAGCAGGATAGCGATAGCGAAGAGGATCCTCTCGATGCATTTATGGCTGGTATCGATGCTGAAATTAAAAAAAGTAAATTCTCCGATTCAGAAGAGCGTAAAGATGATAAACATAAGGGTATTAGAGCGGATATCGATGGAGAAGATGACGAAGAAAGTTATTATCGGTAAAGTAATTGCTTATTATTTTCTGTTTTGTAAACAGTGTTCGCCACTATGCAGCTATAAGCTATAAGCTATCTACTTGTAATTTTGAATGCGTAATGTAGAGAAAGCGTGGGAAAAAATAGTTCTTATTATAAATCTGGTTTAAAAAATTCTTTGTTGGTTAAATTTATTTTTCAAAAAATAATACTCTTTCTTGGCTTAAATAGTTATATGGAAGAAAATCCAAATGCTGGTGTTCACGTAGAGGATTCCGATCAAGAAATTGAGTATGACGAGGATGGAAATCCTATCGCTCCTCTCAGGAAGAAGGAAATAGATCCATTACCCGCTATCGATCACACCGTAATACCTTATGAAGCATTTGAGAAGAACTTTTATATTGTACACGAAGATATCGCAAACTTAAATAAGCAACAGATAGATGACCTGAGAAAGACTTTAGGCATTAAAGTGACAGGACCATCTCCGCCCAATCCGGTGACAAGTTTTGCGCATTTTGGCTTTGACGATTCCTTAATGAAAGCCATTCGAAAGCACGAGTATACTCAACCAACACCAATTCAAACGCAGGCTATTCCAGTAGCCCTTAGTGGACGAGATGCTATAGGTATTGCTAAAACCGGAAGTGGAAAGACAGCTGCATTTATTTGGCCAATGCTTGTACATATAATGGATCAGAAAGAATTATCCTCTGGCGACGGACCAATTGGACTTATATTAGCACCTACCAGAGAATTGTCACAGCAGGTTTATATCTCCACATAATATATATGCCTTATGCGTGCTCCGTTAACATTTTAATAATTGCAAATTGCAAATTATTCTTATGACTGTTAATATTGTTATAATTGCAGATTTATCAAGAAGCGAGGAAATTTGGAAAGGTATATAATATTCAAGTGTGCTGCTGTTACGGCGGTGGAAGTAAATGGGAGCAAAGTAAGGCTTTGGAAAGTGGAGCCGAAATCGTAGTTGCTACTCCTGGTAGAATAATAGATTTAGTTAAAATGAAAGCAACTAATTTATCTAGAGTGACGTTTTTGGTACTCGATGAAGCGGATAGAATGTTTGACATGGGTTTTGGTATGCACCACCACTTGACAACAGTCAAATTCACATTAGAAACATACGTTGGATGAATATGTTGCGTACACATACGCATATTGATTTCAATACTTTTGATTTTAGAACCTCAAGTTAGATCGATATGCAATCACGTGAGACCAGATAGACAAACATTATTGTTTAGTGCGACTTTTAAAAAACGAATTGAAAAACTTGCAAGGGATGTACTGACTGATCCTATTAGAATTGTGCAAGGTGACGTGGGCGAAGCAAACACAGATGTATCTCAACACGTTATTGTCTTTTACAATAATCCAACGGGTAAATGGACTTGGTTGAATCAAAACATAATTGAATTTTTGAGCACCGGCAGTTTGTTAATATTTGTGACTAAAAAGGTAAGGAAAATCACAATGTAGAAAAGTAATTTGGCAAGTAATAACGTAGTCGTAGTAATGCATAATATATTTTGTATTGCAGTTAAATGCAGAGGAGCTGGCAAATAATTTAAAGCTCAAAGAATATGATGTTTTACTGCTTCATGGCGATATGGATCAAATCGAAAGGAATAAAGTAATCACTGCGTTTAAAAAACAAACAGTTAGTATTTTAGTTGCGACAGACGTAGCAGGTACGTGACATCCATCCGAATTCTTATAAATTTTGTTTGCTTACGCGCTACATGCGAGTGTCGACAAATATTTTTCAAATTTATCCAATGAATAATAATAATGCCAAACCGAACACCTGTTGCAGCTCGAGGATTAGATATACCACACATTAGGACTGTTATAAATTATGATGTAGCTCGTGATATTGATACTCATACACATAGAATCGGTAGGACGGGTCGAGCTGGTGAGAAGGGCACAGCTTTTACACTTGTGACTGAAAGGGATAAAGAATTCGCTGGACATCTCGTAAGGAATCTCGAAGGAGCAAATCAAGATGTGCCAAATAGTCTGCTAGATTTAGCTTTACAAAGTAATTGGTTTAGAAAATCGCGATTTAAAAGTGGTAAGGGCAAGCAAGTGAATGTTGGTGGCGCAGGTTTTGGTTTCCGCACCAAAAACACATCCAGTCAGGTAAATTGCTTCATTGCTTGAATAGTTCATTACTTAACTAACATGCCTGATAATGATAATGCTCAATAGCTTCGCACATTGAAAATTACAGTTAAAATTTTATATGAAACAAACAAAAGACAAAATAAAAAACAAAAAAAAAACAAGAAAAAAGAACAGCCAAAAAAAAAACATACTTCTAATGAGGATAAAAGTTTATTAGTCATAAATTATAATTATGTATACTGTTCGCTGTTCCAGAGTGGCCAGTTAGATTCGTCGGCCTCCTCATCCTCACACGTACCAAAGGACATCAGTGAAGTAGTTAAGAAATTAGAAAGAGCTGGTCCAGGTAGCGATCGATTATCAGCGATGAAGGCAGCATTTCGAAGTCAATACAATACACAGGTATGTAAAATTATTGGTTGGAGGTGAAAATTGACATGGAATTTTAAAATTAATTACGCGAAATATTAAATGGCAGTTCCGTGCTTCATCGGATCATACATGGGAGCAAACTATTACGCCTCCTTCGTTGATTATGCCACCACCTCCTCCACCACCTCCAAGTGCAGGATTGTCAAACACGCCGCCACCGGCGCAACCAGCGTGTGATGAAATAACAGAGAGCAGGACAATAGACGCAGAGAGATCGGAAAGAAAAAGACTTCGAAAAAGTCGATGGGAGTGATAAGATTATTTGTTAAGAATGTAATGTTTCGTCCCATATCCAAAGAACTAATAAAAGTTCAAAATTGATCACTGATTGACGAGTCTTTTAATGAACAATGAATGATCGAATTAAAATTATTCGATAATAAACTATTAAACATTGCATCGTAAAAACTATGAGACATTAAACTGTCTTGCACATATTATTTTTTATTTTCATCATTAATCATACGTCAAGTTTTGATGATCTATATCGCATCATTTCGATAATCGGAATGTGCATTATAATGAAAATTTAACGATTAGAATACATAAATGTTGAGTTTAAAATTACATATTTTTCATTACTGTTACTAATTAAATTATATAATACAACTATCGACTGTGTGTGTGTTCAATACATATATATATATATATATATATATATATATATATACATATTGAAGAAAGCCAGGATGTATATATTTATAATATAAATTTTCAATTAGTGATTAATAAAACTTGTATGATGTTCTTCAAGAAATCCTATTGTGTATATTTTTATTCTCAAGTGAGCTTATGTAGCATGATTTATGACTATGAAGACGTCTTTTTTATCATCTAAAATAAATGAATATTTACAAATAACATACATTTAAATCTTTTATAACTTATCCTCTTGTACTGGAAGCCATAAATACTTTCATGAACATTGAACTTGTAAACAACTTGGGATTATTATTACGATTACGTTGGGTTGGTTATTGTTTCACGATACGAAAAATTATCTCGGGCTTATGAATTTCTTAAACTTACTATCAATAAATGTCCTGTGTAATTCTTATAAGAAATTTTATTCTGCATGGATACATTCTTAAGTAAACGTACATTTTATCAACGTATATTTATTAATAGATTTTCTACATTTAAACAATAAGAAGAAGTATGTGAGCACAATAATTCACGTGTCAGGATAACACCTCAAAGGCAGCATCCAATAAATGGACGCCCAAGCATATGCGTTTAGTGTGGATTAGAAGTATTGAAGTAACATTGGCGCACCTGGTAATTTTGCTTATATTTATTGTAAATTGTTCCGTTTTAATAGTCCATTGAAAGTGCGACGTATAATTTCAATTAACACGATAATCGCATTTAAGCGCTACAAGTGTGATACTAATATTAATATATACGTAATTATAAGGAGTAATGCGAAAATATAAATCTCCATTTTTTTTTTTAGTGTATTTTACATGGTAGATATGTGAAATCGTGAGTAATGATTTTAAACTTAAGCTATATATGTATCGCCTAGGAATCTAAGGAAAATGGTAAAAACCTCTTGGCAATTGTACTAAATTACCAAGATATACATGGTTATGAGTTAATCTGCGAATCCTTGGACAGCCATTTAGGGCACCGCTGCAATCGAGAATTGCCTTGTTGCAGACGCGTTAACGCGCAAGAGCGACGAATTCGTTGCCCGACATTCGTCCTCTCGCGCGTCAATAAAGCTAATTTATTTTCTCATCGTTGATCAACCTGATTATCCGACATACACTCGTTACACCTCCGGATTACGTTCGCGAATACTTTGTTAACGCCAAGTGTCTTCTCCTCTCGACGGTTGGGGGAGGGCGGTTTTGGACTGGGCGGCGGGATGGCGGGGGGGGGGCGGCGGGAGGG